TTGGCTAAATGTTGTTTAGCTTCAGTTCCGGGTTTTTTGGTCATTTTTTCTTATTTTTATGCATTTAGCATGAAAAATGCTAAATTTGTCATGAATTTAAAAAGTTTTGAATTCTGTGGAACTTTTTCTGCCTAATTATGATTCTATAATCAATTATGATTCTATAATCAATTATGATTCTATAATCAATTATGATTCTATAATCAATTATGATTCTATAATCGTAATAAATTCCTGAAGATAGAAACATGAATTTGGTTATTTATATGCAACATTTTCTGCAGATGGATCCATGTTGCACCACTTTGTGTTTTTGCTGTGAAGCTCTGTGAAATGCTGCTGAAATGTGATACACAAATAAAATTTGAATTTGAAAATCTGTTGCCATCAGATTGAAAACTAATAAACAGATCCATAAACAAAAATGCAGAATATAATTTGGTTTTAGTTTTATGACATAGTTCCAGTCTGTTTTCCTCATAAATTATTGTTTTTATTTATTTCATTATTTTAATTTAGCCTTTCAAGCAGCCATACTGAATCAGGGTCATGACCTTTGACCTTTTGTTCATGCTGAGCTCTGGTTTCACATTGCAGGCATAGAAACTAACTATATGAAATATCACTGTTCTGACATGATTTTCTTGTTTGTGTTTTTAAGGATATTTATGAGTTAATATTTTTTATATTGTAATTTAGATCAAAAGTTTTTATTTTTGATAACAATGTTTGTCCTCCTGCCAGGCTCCTCCCCTTTTATATGAAATATGTAAATGAAACTCCAGTTCATTTAGTTCATTTTAAGTCTGCGATTTTTGCTTTTTATGTTATTTATTAATCCATTTATTATTTTTATTGATATTATGTGTGTGTGTGTGTGTCTGCGTGTGTGTGTGTCTGCGTGTGTGTGTGTGTGTGTGTGCGTGTGTGTGTGTGTGTCTGCGTGTGTGTGTGTGTGTGTGTGTGTGTGTGTGTGTGTGTCTGCGTGTGTGTGTGTGATCAGACACAAACATCTGCTCTGTGTTAGCCTCTGAATGCGTCACGCTCGCCTTCTGACTCGCGGCAGCAGCTGATTGTTTCTGCGGCTCAGAGTTCAGGACGAGCCTCAGGAAGTTTAAAGTTTTTTATTCAGATTGAAAAATCAAATTGTTCCTGTTGATTTTCTGCTGCAGGAAGGTTTTGCTCCTTTGCTGGAGACACCAGAACCAGAACATCTGCTCCACCTCCAGCTGCTGTGGCTCTTAGTCCAACCAGCCTGTTCCCCTCCTGGCCTGTGGGGGCGCTGCACCAACAACCACTGCAGGAAACGACACTAAAACCTCTGAAGACACTGAGAGCAACTTCCTGTTTCACCAGATGAAACAAGATGGAGGCGTCAAAGTTTAGTGATTTCTCTTTAGTCTTTGGCTGAAGACCAGGAGCCATTTTTGCTGCTAGCGCTAGGCTAACACGTTAGCTTTGGTTACCCAGAATGCCCTGCGCTGTAGTCCACTTCCTGCTTTTGGAGCACTCTCTGGTCCGCTTAGCGTTCACGTTCAAACCGAACCAGACTGAGGTTTGGAGGACCAGAGGTCAGAGGTCAGAGGTTGCTTAGCATTCACACGTGGCCAACCAAACCGGAGTTTCTAAGGAAGCGGAGCGGAGTTGGGATCAAGCGGACTGGACGTGGCTGCTGGTGTTTCAAACAGGAAACTGTATAAATTAATCTGAAAATGAGAAGGTGGCCATTACTGTCTTAAAGGAACAGCATCTTATTTCATAGATTCAGATTAACTTAATCTGTGAGTTAATCCAGCTCTGTCTGTTTGGGGCGTTTGGCTTCGTTCAGCAGAGAACCTGGACCTGACGGATCGTTTCTCTTTGGTGGAGTTCAGGCTGGAGGTCAGCTCAAGGTCAGCTGCTTCTTAAATCTCTCCAAGGAGAAAATCATGTTTTTCTTTCGGGTTGTTTTGCCCCTCGTTGAACCCCTCACTGTTTGCTCTGTATACAACATTTTTGTCCAGGTGGGGCCTCCATACTCCCGGTGATGGTCTCTCTGGGTTCACTCCCTCTCACTTCTACAACTCCAGACACTGATTGGAGACAAACACACATTCCTGCAGCAGATCTTCATCTCTACCTAATTTTCATTTCTGCTCAGGTAAACATGGAGCTGGCCGGTTCCCACAGCGTACGGCTCCGTTGCTCAAAGCTCCGTTGCTCAAAGCTCCGTTGCTCAAAGCTCCGTTGCTCAACGCTCCGTTGCTCAACGCTCCGTTGCTCAACGCTCCGTTGCTCAACGCTCCGTTGCTCAACGCTCCGTTGCTCAAAGCTCCGTTGCTCAACGCTCCGTTGCTCAACGCTCCGTTGCTCAACGCTCCGTTGCTCAACGCTCCGTTGCTCAACGCTCCGTTGCTCTGTGGTCATTAATTGGAGGTCGTCCGCAGAGGAAACTCCCCTCAGCGCCGTCGGACCTGAGCAGCTCAGTTCGTGTCGAGGCTCAGATTATTAAACTGGACTCTCTTCAAACGGTGTGGCGCAATCCTGCTGCTGCAGTCGGAGACAAATAAGAGGCAATAAATGAGGCAACCAGCAATAAAACATGATCAGCCAGGAGCTGCGGCAGCCGCAGCATTCCTGCGATCCATTAAAAAATATCACAATAACAGAAAACCAGGTCGTTTCTGATGTCATGATCCCAGATTTCATGTTTCCTGTTGCTCCGCCCTCATCTTCATCCGCCCTGCCTCCTCTTCTTCACCTCTTCATCGTTCCTCTCCAGACCAACGTTCCTGCTTCTCCTGGTTTTCCTCCAATTTCCAAGCAGATTAGAATCCACAGAACCTCCTGGCGGGGGTCAAAGGTCAGCGGGAACCAGAGGGGCTGGGACTGGATCCACTCCTAGCTGAGACGTAGTTCAGTGATTATCAGATTATCACTCTGGAGGAAAACTACCAGGTGTCACAAGAGTTTGGGTGGGACTGAGTAACAGAACCGTTTTACAGAACCAGAACCTTCCTGAAGACCCGCTGCAGGTTCTCCTTCATCCAGGAATTTTGCACAACGCTGGAAAACAGAAAGACGATTCATTCACTGCAGCAGCAGAAACGTTACCAGAATAATAGCTGGAGATGAACTGAGTCACAGAAAGTCCAAATTCTTGTTTCTCGCTCCGTAGACTCGTTGCCATAGCAACCAACAACGAATGTTTCAGGATTTAATGCCAAAAATCATTTCAGAAGATTCAGTTTGTTACAGTCTCATGTTTCAGGATCGATGTTTATTCTGTGATTATTAATAAGTGATCACTGTGGAAGACTAGCTACTGCTGCTATTAGCTAAGCTAACAGAGCGGTGATTAGCTACAGCTGCTATTAGCTAAGCTAACACAGCGGTGATTAGCTACAGCTGCTATTAGCTCAGCTAACACAGCGGTGATTAGCTACAGCTGCTATTAGCTAAGCTAACAGAGCAGTGATTAGCTACAGCTGCTATTAGCTCAGCTAACACAACGGTGATTAGCTACTGCTGCTATTAGCTAAGCTAACAGAGCGGTGATTAGCTACAGCTGCTATTAGCTAAGCTAACAGAGCAGTGATTAGCTACAGCTGCTATTAGCTCAGCTAACACAGCGGTGATTAGCTACAGCTGCTATTAGCTAAGCTAACAGAGCTGTGATTAGCTACAGCTGCTATTAGCTCAGTTAACACAGCGGTGATTAGCTACAGCTGTCATTAGCTAAGCTAACACAGTGGTGATTAGCTACTGCTGTCGTTAGCTAAGCTAACAGAGCAGTGATTAGCTACAGCTGTCATTAGCTAAGCTAACACAGCGGTGATTAGCTACTGCTGTCATTAGCTAAGCTAACAGAGCGGTGATTAGCTACTGCTGTCATTAGCTAAGCTAACAGAGCGGTGATTAGCTACTGCTGTCATTAGCTAAGCTAAAAGAGCGGTGATTAGCTACTGCAGTCATCAGCTAAGCTAACAGAGCGGTGATTAGCTACTGCTGTCATTAGCTAAGCTAACAGAGCGGTGATTAGCTACTGCTGTCATTAGCTAAGCTAACAGAGCGGTGATTAGCTACTGCTGTCATTAGCTAAGCTAACAGAGCGGTGATTAGCTACTGCTGTCATTAGCTAAGCTAACACAGCGGCGATAGATTAGCTCTTCTGATGTTTTTGCTTTGGTCGTATTTTTTATTTTAACTGAACCTAAACACGCACAATTCTGCAGCATATCTACACGTTACGCTGTCAAAGTCAAGCTAGCATAATGCTTTTCTCTCTCGCTGTGTTTTTAATTGAACTTTTTTTTACCTTGTTATCTAGTCGTAGCAAAGCCCTGCATCCATTTTTCTTTTATGTATCATGTCTACATTTGAGATTTACTGCTTTATATCGACAACAGTTAAACCCGATGCTAGCTATCGTTAGCAAGCAGCTGTTAGCCCTCCAGCAGGAAGTTGAGGGCGGGATCTACCGTGTGATGTCATGCTGCGTCAGTTTATTCTCTGCTTAACGCATCACAGAGGATCCCAGTGAAACCTGCTGAACTTTGGGATTAGATGTGGGAATTCTTGCATGTGGTTCTGTTTACGATTAGAACTGGACCAGAACCAGACCCATTTCTGAGACCCCTCAGTCTGATGGCGCTGTGTCGTCCTTCCACTTAATTATCCCAGCCTAAGTGGGTTTGTGACTGTGACCGCTCACCGCGGCGCTGCGGCTCGCCTCTCTGAGACGCTTCTTGCTGGTTTCCTCCCAGGTCAAAGGTCAGAGGCTGATGTGGCGAGGCTTCTCCTCATGCTGCAGGAATTTGCTACTCATGCGATTTTATGCACGGAATCAGAGCAGAAATGATTTAATGTTGGTGGAAAAATACCAGGCAGAGTTTAGAGCTCATGTTTCTGCTGCACCAAGCCGGGATTTGAACCCACAACCTTCCAGCAGCAAATGAGAGCTTTAGGAATCTCGGTTCTTCTCATCTCATCGGGAACTCTGAGGGCAGCTAACGGCGCCGCAGCTCTGACAGGAGGCATGCTGGGAAATGACCTGCACCGCTTGAATAATCTGAGTTAATCTGAGAGCAGAGAGAAAAAAAACTCCCGATGAACGGAGCGAACAGACGCACTAATCATAACTTCTCTTCCTCTCCCTCCATCCGACCCGTTCTGTTTCTGGTTCTGTTCTGGTTCTGGTTCTGGTTAATGGTTCTGTTCTGGTTCTGGTTATTAAACTTAAAAACTAAATTAACAGCAGTAATTTCAGTTCTTCAGTCATGAGAGCAAAAAAGGGGAATTAAGTTTTCAAACCTCTGAGGTCTGATTGGATTTACACCACAAAGGCAGATCATACGGGTCCAACCCGGTACTGGAGAACTTTCAGTCCGTACCCTCCTGATGGTCCAGTCGACCCGGTTCCACTGGAACCAGAACATCTGCTCCCACCTGCAGCTGCTGTGGCTCTGAGTCAGACCAGCCTGTTCCCCTCCTGGCCTGTGGGGGCGCTGCACCAACAACCACTGCAGGAAACGACACTAAAACCTCTGAAGACACTGAGAGAAACTTCCTGTTTCACCGATGAAACAAGATGGAGGCGTCAGAGTTTAGTGATTTCTCTTTAGTCGTTGGCTGAAGACCAGGAGCCATTTCTGCTGCTAGCGCTAGGCTAACATGTTAGCTTTGGTTACCCAGAATGCTCTGCGCTCTGTAGTTCACTTCCTGCTATTGGAGCGCTCTCTGGTCCGCTTGGTGTTCACATTCAAACCGAACCAGATTTCACTTCAACCGAACCCAGACCAAGGTTTGGAGGACCAGAGGTCAGAGGTCGATTAGTGTTCACACCTCACCAACTGGACCAGATTTTCTAGCAAATGGACTTGAAATGAATAATGAAACTCTTATGTAGCTAAAACTGAAATGAAAGCTGATGTTCTGACAGCAGAGCCGTTGTTCAGGCTCTGGATGGAGGCTCCAGGCGGCGGAGCGGGGCGGAGCGGGGCGGCTCTTACCAGGGGCATCATGGCCGACGCGCTGGGGGAAACCCGTCCTCTGTAGAAGTTGTGCATCTCCACCAGCAGCTCCTCCTCCGACTCGCTCAGGAAGCTCCAGGCTCCAGGAACCAGCAGGGCCCCCAGCAGCAGGCTCATCCAGGATGGGGCTCCCATCGGCGGGCGGCGCGGCGCCGACACCCCCCTGGTCCTGGAGCTCCGCCGAGGGGCCCCAACCTGAGGGGGCCCCTGCTGCTCAGACTGGCTCTTGAGGTGCATGGTGGGTAACGGTCCTGAGTAAATCCTGAGGTGATCCAGAATCCAGCGGCGGGGATCAGAGTGTGTGTGTGTGAACAATGTGCCGTTGTCTCAGAGTGTGTGAGAGTTTTGTCCTCAGTGCCGCTCTCGCTCAGCTCTGCAGACCGTTCTGACTCTGACTCAGATTTAACTGAGCCAGGATCCTCCTCCTTCACACACACACACACACACACACACACACACACACACACACACACACACACACACACACACACCCTCACCATCCCCCCGCCCATCAGGATCACATGACCACCCCAAGTTAAACCTGCAGCAGAATGAAGACAGATAAATTCACCTCAGAGATCGGCTCACGTTTCCTGCTCTGGAACCAGCGCTCCCAGTACCAGCTCCCAGTAACAGCTCCCAGTACCAGCTCCCAGTACCAGCTCCCAGCACCAGCTCCCAGTACCAGCTCCCAGTACCAGCTCCCAGTACCAGCTCCCAGTACCAGCTCCCAGTACCAGCTCCCAGTACCAGCTCCCAGTACCAGCTCCAGTACCAGCTCCCTTCCTCACTGGATTCCTCTCCAGCTTTTCCTTCATTATCATTATTTGGTAAATTTAAACTTTACAAAATAAAATGTTTCTTATAAGCCAATTAATTCCCAAACAGGAGGAATTAAATATTTAAAACATCTACAAAATAATATAAATGTTATCATTTTACATTTTAAAGACTTTTAGTTTATTATTCATTTTAATCCATTATGATGCTTCTTAAGGTCAAAATGGCCGTTTGAGGTTGATGCATTATTATTTTCATTAGGGGGGATATTAATGTCTGATATTAATATTTATTCAATATTTATTGACATCGTAAATATTTTCCTACATTTCAAACATAGAAATGACCATAACAGATTCTTCTCTGCTTCAGATAAACATCCCATGATCCTTTGCTGTCAGTATCAGTATTATATGATAAACAAGCTGCAGCTCCAGAACCAGAACATCAGAGCGGTTCAGAACCGCACTGGTCCAAACAAACTTCCTCCATCGTGAAGCTTCAAACAGCTCCGTTTGTGTTCTGGTTCCAGGCGGCCCGGTTCTGTCATTTGGACCTTTGGGGTTGTTGTTGATGTCTGAGGTTCTGACGCTGTTTATTTCTCCTTCCACCTGTTTCCCTGAAGAACTCGATGAGGAAAATGTCTCTGAAGATCAGAGGATTTTAAACTGGGAGAGGAAATAAAACTTTCTTAATTCACTTCAAAATAAGAGCATGGATATAAACATTTGAAGAATTCACAAAAACAAAAACATGTTGAGCTGAATTCACTCAGCTCTTCTGAATTTGTTAGGGGAAGCTAAATGCGCTAAGCATTTCAAAGTTAGCAAGAGCGCTAAGCTAAATATTAGCTTAGCAATTAGTGGATTAGCGGAAGCAAGTGGAAGTGTAATGACTCTAATTAGATAATAAACAGGAAAAAACAATGCAAAGTGAAACATTTAAATGTTTATTATTATTATTATTATTATTATTATTATTATTATTATTATTATTATTTTAATATGATTATGTTCGCTCTCCTCTCTCAGGCGACAGACTTTTCTGCTTTGTGCTGCGTTTTCCTACCAAGATGGCGGATCAGACTTGTGGGAACTGTAATCAGTTCCACCCCGACATCCAGCCCAGATGCTGACTGGTTTCCTCCCAGTTGGCTGTGAGTGGAACCAGAACCGCCGGGTCGGGTAGAACGCCTGCGCTGGTATCTCCGTCCATCTGCCGGTCCAGGTCCAGAAGCCTGAAATGTTTCACATGTGCCGGTAATCTCTTCCCGAGCGGAACATGACGGATCGTTCTGGTTCTGGCAGAGAATCACAGCTTCAGCTGGGAAGGTCCGGAATCTGTTGGCTCCAAACGCCATTTCAGTCCAAAGACGGATGTTCAACCCGGACCGGCCCGGTTTCACTGGAAACGACCCGCAGCGGATCCGGGTTCGCTTTCCTGACCCAGAACTTATCAGAACCAAACCCGCTCCGTTTAACAGAACTACTTCTCCGAAACAGAAAGTTGAGCTGCACAGAATCATGAGCCAAAAGTTTCTGAACAGAAACTGAAGCCGACTTTGGAGGAACGATCTAGAGCTACAGATCTAGATCTGTAGCTCTAGAGCTACAGATCTAGAGCTCTAGATCTAGAGTCAGTACAGCTTCAGTTCTTCCAGCTGGAACATAGAGATCAGCGCGACCTCTGACCTCTGACCTTCACAGCCACATAAAGACGGTTCCAAAGTCGGCCTTCTATCAGCTGAATAACCTTTAAATCCTCCTGGTCTATTAATAACTGCTGCTGGATTGACCTGCTGGTTCTGGTTCTGGTTCTGGTTCTGCATCAGACTCAACGTGGAGAAGCAGCATTCAACTTCTATGCTTCACAAATCTGGAACAAACTTCCAGAGAACTGTAAAGCAGCCGAAACCCTGAAACCCTGATTGGAGCTGATTTTAATGAATAATCAATAAAACGTTGAGAGCTGCACAGTGGTGCAGTTGGTAGCAAGAAGGTTCTGGGTTCGATTCCCGGGTCTTTCTGCGCGGTGGGTTCGTTCTGTCCGGCTTCCTCCCACAGTCCAACAAAATGTTTTTATGACTTTTAATTTTTGAGAATTAATTATGTAAAACACTTTAAATAAACCGGATTGATTGATTGATTGATTGATTGATTGATTGATTGATTGATTGATTGTTGTCAGCCTGCTGATCAGATCCTGTAAATCCAGTTTCCAGGTTTTAATAAAGTTCTTCTGGATTAGATCGTTGTTTTATCATCGCTCCTCGTTTCCAGATTCCAGCAGGATGAGAGAAACTTTCTGGAAGAATCAAACCTGGTTCTGATCCGGTTCTGATCCGGTTCTGATCCGTTTTCTGCTCCATGTTTTCACTTCCAGGCTGTTCGACACGTTCCGGTTTCATTTGGATTATTTCTGTCCAATCGGACCGACTTGTTGGACATTTAGAGGAAAAGAACCGATAGAAAACCCGGTTCATCCCAGCAGCACCAGGAAGTCTGCAAGGCCAACTTTTATTTTGATAGTCTGATAATTAGCAAGCTAATTTCCATATTAGCTAAAAAGATTGTACCTAAATATTTAGCTGGGAAGCTAAACAGTAAAGTATCCGACTGGTTCCCATCAGAACTGGACCTGGTTCTGGTTTCTCCACCCTCCATCTGGAACCGAGCAGACAGAAGAATCGGACTCCACCCTGCAGCCTGGAAGCATTTCAGGCTCTGAATCACCGAGACGCAGATTTGATCTGAGCAACGTTTCAGCGAGAAACCAGTTTATAAACTTTAGCTTAATAAACTAAAGCTTTAGTTTAATGATCCGGGTTCTTAAGGCCCGGTTCTGAAAGCCCGGTTCTACATGTGAATTAATAGTTTCAAACCTTAAATCTGTTTCCTCATGTTGTTTTGATCCGTTTCTGTTTGTGTCTCTGGGTTTTAAGTCTGATTGATTTTGGTTATTGATTATTAGGATTGATGGTTTCGTTTCCATGGAAACTGGAATCAGGATCTCAGCCGAGATTCTGTTGGACCCGGTAAACCTCTCTCTCTGCTGAAGCCTCAGCTGCTGCCGACCTTTGACCCCAGCTGTTATCGGACTGCGACACGGCCCGCTTCCCGCTCTGCGGCTCAGGAGGTCAGAGGTCAGCGATCACATGGTGTTCTGCTGCGAGCCCAGAGGATCCGGTTTCTGTCAGAGCAACAAGTCGAGTGGCAAAACACGAAACGCGACCCGGGTGGGCGAGACCCGGACCGGACCGGACCGGACCGGACCGGACCGGACCGGACCGGACCGTCTGGTTCCATTACTTCAGTCCAAAACTCATCAGCTGCAGCAACTGCAGGGTGGCGATGCCTGCAGGCCCCATGACCGGGGCCCATGTGACCCGGGGCCCATGTGACCCGGGCCCATGTGACCCGGGCCCATGTGACCCGGGGCCCATGTGACCCGGGCCCATGTGGGCAGTTTGTGGGTCCCAGAGTCAGAACCAGAACCGGAGAGGAGCTGATTGATCCAAACATGTGAACAGAATGTGACCCGGCCCGGCCCAAAGCGTTCTGCTGTCACCGACTGGCTGCTAATGGCTAACAGATGGCCGAGTGTTTCTCTCTCTTTCAGGACCGACTGGTCTGAACGGGCCAGAACCAGGACCCATAAGAACCAGAACAGAACTGTGTAGAAATGAATGGAAATCCCCACAAGGAGAGAAAGACACACGTGTGTGTGTGTGTGTGTGTGTGTGTGTGTGTGTGTGTGTGTGTGTGTCTCTCATGCAACATTATGTAATGACTGAGCCGACCGTCTTCATCTTCATCATCATCATGGACCTGTCTGCACAAGCTGCCTGATGATGTCATAGGTTCAGGAAGTGGACCCTCCTTAGAGACGTCAGGCAGCCGGACCCCGCCCAGTAACCAGAGCGTCTGGAACTGGTTTGTGCTTTAACTGGTCCGTCTGGTCAGAGTCTCTGATCTGCAGTCAGGCTGACGCTGCGATCGCGGCCCAGTGGCTCCTCCCATTCCTCAGGAAGTGCCAGGAGTTTCCAGAGCGCCACCGCAAGTACAGCAGCAGAACTGCGGCAGCGTCACTCAGCAGGTCTGTGGCCCAGACCATCACCTGCCACCACCGTGCCTGTTTTTCTCCTTCAATCCATCCAAACAGCCAAACTGGATGAGTCGTTTCCCGAGCATCCTGCCACGACCTTTAACCCTTACAGGTCATGACTATTATGCAAAATTTTCTTTTTGAACGTTTTCGTTCTTCCATTCGTGTTGTCATGTTTTTGGTGTCTGGAAAACGAGACGTTTCAAAAACTTACCGAATGAAACGTCATAAATCAGCAGGAACCGCTCGTAACTTAGCAACCACTCTGTAACCTAGCAACACAGACTGAGCTCCAGTCTGTGGTCAGCTGGTTTCCCGCTGTACAATGGCTGCTGGAAAAGACGAGACTTTTGTCGACTCACCAAACAAACCAGTTGCTGTGTTCTGGTTGGTTGTGCAGGAGGCTCCACTTCTGCTCTTCTAAGATGTACAGGCAGGGGCGCCGCCAGGAATGTTGGAGCCCATGACAA